TATGCTTTATGTAAAAGCTTGTGCTCTCGGCTTTAGTCCGTGGACCGAATCGATTTAATTGGATAAAAAAAATTATTTGATATGGTTGATACGCGATTTTGGAAGTCAACTTTAATATAATTTTAACCTGTCAAACTATGCACTTAAATAAGCCACAAGTAGGATCATCCTCCGGTCTAGTCCGGGCAAAAGGAAACGCAGCTATGTATACAGTTCACTGGCGTTAAGAGAAATCACGTGACCAAAAACTGCTGTAGCAGTTGGTCATTATCGGTCACATGTTGTTTACTGCTGAAATTTGAACGTCAACGTAAAAAGGCACCTTGAGTGATATGTTTTGCACGTTTGTAAATACGAAATTAGTTGTACAACGTTTAATAACGGACATACTTGCTGTTATTGTGAATTTCAGGCTCTTTCGTACTTTGCTGAACTGTCTATGCAATGGCTATAATAACGGACTTACCCATTAATGTGATTATTATCATCTTGTGCAATAAGAGCATCAGCTTTAAGGATATTATAAGTTTAGCTCTCTCATGCAACAAATTTTACAAGTTATTAACCACTGACAATGAACTTTGGCAGAAGAAATTTTATCAGAGGTATTTTTTCACATTGGTTTTTATGCAAACAAGCTTAATTTATCTTATTCGGGATGCAAGTTTAGTGATAAGCAAATATCTTATTTCATTTGCCTTGAATAAATTTTTTATTTTAGTCAAAATTTGAAATGTATAGTAACGTATGTTTTAAAATTTTCATTTCGGTTACGATAACTTTATCTGGCTTGTATAATTTTGAAAAATTATATAAAGGAACTGTAAAATGTGTAAAATTATATAACTTTGGAAAATGACATGCATTTTTTGTTTTAATTTTAGATGGCCTCATCTAAGAGAAGAATATGACGAACAACTGTGCCTAGAAAATAAAAGTTTTCTTGAACAAGTAAAAGCAGGTGTAAAATGTAAGAAAGAATTATGGTATTACTTGTCGGTGAAATCTAGACACGATTATTATTATTACCAAAATTACAAAGATTATTATTACGAAAATTTCGAAGATTATGATTACGAAAATTACGAAGATTATGATTACGAAAATTACAATGATTATGATTTTGATGTTGAATTTAGGCATTTTTGTTCACTGTTTGATCCAGATAAAGGCGCATATTTTATGAATTATTATTTCTTTGTAAATGAGCTGATGAGCTCGATTACAGGTCCTCTAATGTAAGATTTAACAAATTGTTAAAACAGCAGATTATAACACATTTATTGCATATTTAATTAAGAAAATATTAGATTTTAAATATTGTATACAAAATGTTTTAGAGTATTTAATTTCACACGAAGATTTCACGCAATAAATCTTCTTTCATACCTGCACTATTATCGTTTAAGGAAGAAGGTACACGAATTTCTAAATTATCCTGAAAAACAACAGATTTTAGAAAAAGCAGTCTTTATTGTAGCACAATGGTATCAACCCGTGCATCAACCCCAGAAATATATGTCTTACTTGTATGTGAGTACGTCACTGCATAAGATTACAGAGCAGGTATTGGAGTGCCTTCGAAATGAATATCCTGCGCATCCAATATGCTCAATATCAGAAGAGCAGCTTTCTTTTTGGGAAAACAGTAATATCGATGATAATCATTGGAATAGCATAGAAGGAAGACAGATTATAGAGAGTCTTTGTAAAGTTTTATATGATAAATTATGTTTTCGTGGAACTGTATTTTACACGAGTGAGAGTAACATTCTCAAATACTCTTGCATAGATCGCGTAAGTTATAAATTATAATACATTATGAATACTTAACGTTGTCAGCACAGTTCTTTGCTTGTTATGTCTTATAATATATTAATATTTTTTATTGTAATTTGTGACAGGTTTTTAAACATAAAATTGGTACCAGTGTAATTCTGGCAACAATATATCATAGTGTGGCGAGAAGACTTGGAATACGCTGCGATATAATATTCCATAAATTTAAGGATGAGTTCTTCTTATGCTGGAGAGCGAAATAGTATAAGTATAATTTTAATGCAAGCCTAAATTTTCATCCTTATCATATTTATACGTATATCTTTTTTATCACAGTCATACCACAAATCTCAAAGAAGAAGAATGTTTTGACATTGAATTCATGCGTAATGAACAAACAGTCGGTACAAATGACTGTCCTATAATTAATATTGCAAAATATGGTATTGATGAA